TTTATTCCGCCCTCTTGACTCCAATTACTTTGCCTGTTAGCTTTCTATGGATTGCATTACAGAATTTCTTGTCTCTTTAAAAACATTATTTATTACGTTTGCAGAGACGGAATTTACTAATTTTGGGGACTTTGATTTCTGTGAAATTAAGGGAGGACATCACCATAACGGAGTAACATCCTAAACAGATTTCTTTTCTTTATTTTCTTAAAGTTTCAAATATGTCGAACATTTAGCAATTGAAAGGTAAATTTTCAAAAATCTCTTACTCTATCAGAGAGATAAGTTATCTCAAAAGTCCTTTCACGTTCTTCTCGAAACTAGATTTTTCAACCTGGCCATTACGAAATATTATTATTATATTAATATTACGTATTATTTATTTATATATTATTTTATTTAATATTATTATTATATATCAATTATTTAATTTTTTATAAGCATTTAAAATTGTTTTTTTAGGATAACAACAGCTGTTCCTCTTCAAACTGCAGCCATTTCTGCAATTACTAAAATTTTCGAAATCCCGTAAGCTACATTTTAGATAACAGTTTAAGTTTATGAATCAACAATATTTGTTTAGTTGTGACGTCCTAGTACAGTACATTGTCTCTAATTGACTCTCAAATTGTACATAAAAATGGATAATTTGGGTAGAGGAGATACAATTATTCGAGCCTTGCGGCTCGTTTTTATAGTTGCCGATTGTCAACAACTATAAAAACGAGCCGCAAGGCTCGAATAATTGTATAGATGTGTATAAGAGACAGTTTTTATAGTTGCCGATTGTCAACAACTATAAAAACGAGCCGCAAGGCTCGAATAATTGTATAGATGTGTATAAGAGACAGTTTTTATAGTTGCCGATTGTCAACAACTATAAAAACGAGCCGCAAAACTCTAATAATCGTATCTCCTCTTCCAAAATTGTCCATTTTTGTACACAATCGGTGCATCAATTAGGGAGAATTTACTGCACTTACCAACTGCGACGGCCATAATGTTATACGAGAAGGAGTTTCGGAAGCAACGAATAACTTTGCCATGTTTTACGATTGTTAATTCTAAAAAATTGGAAAGCAAAGCTGGAATATACTTTTATATTCTCTTAGAAACATTAAGTCTTTTACCGAGTAAATACCTCTAGAAAAATTCCTAAACATTATCTATTATTCTGAACGCCTCAGATTGGTGTCCCCTATTGAACACATTAGCGACCATTGTTTATTTCGTCATCTACTTTAATTGCTAAAGTAATTCGTTAACGTCGCAAGGAACCGATATTCGCAAGAGTTTCGAATGCAAGGTGTCTGAAAAATATTGTAAGCTCTTGAAAAGGGTGATACTCGAGATGCTGTCGAGTTATCTTTTTTTTAGCAAAAATGTTAGGGATTCGTTAATGAGTTATTAACGAAAAATACAGACCTATCAGGTAGCTAGTAGAGCGGACGAATAACGGCACGATATCGAGCTCGATACGGCATTGGCTGCGGTGGTGGCAACCAGCCGTACTCGCTCTCTGATTGGTTCATGTTTTTCGTGAATAATTTGCCGCGGAGAACATTTTCTCTAAGGCAGTAGTATCTTCAAATACCCTCAAGTATACTAAATATCTCGATAAAAAATTAGTTCGTCGTAGAAATGATATTTGAACCGACTATCGGTCAAAAGTTTTATTAATACACAGCTTGACGATGTCACGGTCAAATTCAGATTTACACTCTTAATGTAACGTACTTCTATTATGAAATGAAATAAATAATTGCTATGTAATCAAAATAATTCATGTATTTTTGCATAAACTAAGAGATGTAAAAAGGTCACTTGAAAAGTTATATTACAGTTCTATACCAGAGTATAAAATGAAAAAGTATACTAGGAGAAATATATTACATACTTTAGATAGCATTTATATAATTTTATGGCTTTATATTATATTTGTATTATAGGAATTCTATTCAGATTATATTACTTAAAATTACATTATGTTCATATTATAAATTATATAAATATCAAGGTAGATCAAATTTGGTTAAATACTGCAAATTAAGCAATATGGCTCTCATTCGTAAGATGCACAGACTACACATTGAGAGAGTTAAGAATACACAAATTATTACTCCAAACGTATTAGGACACTTACAAAAAATTAAATAAATTTCAGAAACCGATAGGAAATTCTTATAACGTCTACATTTTGTTTCGAACTTAGTTTTATACAGTAAAAAAATAACGTCGATTTTATAAAAGAAAATTAAAGCTTCTTTTCGTCCATAGATTCCCCATGTTTTTAATTACTCTTTGGACTAATTTCGACATCCGTTTTATTATTTCATCTATTATTTCTGTTCCCATTTGATTTCATGTATTCTGTGCTATACATATATTATACTATATATATATTATAGTACTATTGTACTAAATATATATTATACTATACATATTTAGAAAACACATCTGGAAACGACGCGCGTCTTACCGAGCGAGGAGTATGAAATGAACTCAGTCTTCCTGTTTTAATTAACAGAGTTCAATAGATGAGAAAACTAATTGTATAAGAGTGACAAACGCTCATAATTTAATTAATGTGTACTTTCGACAATATGATACCATAAAACTAGCAGACATTACCTAAACTGAAAAAATTACAATTTATATTAAATATGAAGTTGTCCTAATACTTTCGAAGGAGGCGTTCTTCTCAAGTGTCAATAATTCTTGTATTCTACTAAGTCGTTTAATAAATTCCACGAGACCGTTCATATGTAATTACAGCATCAAAAAAATAAAATAAAATAAAATAAAAAAAGAAAGAAGAAGAATAGAATTTCTACGACGGATATAAAATTGTTTTATTTTTTTTAAGAATTAGTCGTTTTGTTCTGACGAAATATATTATATTTAGAAGTCCAATCTTATTGATAGAAACACAGTTTTATTTCAGTCAGAATACCCGTTGGTGGCGTTGAAATGATTGAAAGTAATGCTACAGCTATGACGCAGGCTACTAAAACCACCGCTGAATACATATCACAGTTAGAATGGAAAGGTTTTCCTTATCTTGTCAATTCTCTAAATTCTGCTCCCTCAGATTATTACCTATCTCATTAAATACAGTACAGACTAAAATGGCAGCACTTCAGAATATATGTGAAATAAACAATTGGATCCACAATTACTTTGATTCCACAAACTCGCTATTATTTTTCTGCCAAAGAATTCAATTTTTGTCAGAGAGGTGAGGTAAGATCGCAGAAGATGATGATTTCAGTTGAAAAAATGATACTATTTCAAAAAATGTATTGAATTAATAAATCGGCAGTACTTGATTAATTAAATCTAATTCATCCTAGTCAAATCATTCTTAAGGTGAATACAAATCTAAATTAAATTGCAACTAAATATAAGTTTGTTGCAAACTTACATATTTTAGGTAACGGAATTACAACTGTTACGTTTTCAAATGTATAAAATATTTATATCTGCCGCGTCAAGACGGAGAAGAGAGGTGTAATGAAATATGTGGTGTTGATTTTTGACAACTGGTTTGTCAATTTCATTTGTAACGATGATTAATAACGAAATCAGATACTCGAATATGAAACTAAACAAAATAAATCATCCCTAGGGAGGAAACAGAGGATAGAAAGAACAGGAAATATATTAATATTAATATTTCGTGGCTTGTTTCCTCACAAATATATTTGTCTGTCCATCGAATTTTAAGTAAGCAATATTAAATTTTGTCGATGTATCATGATATTATTAAACGTCTTGTGTATTTGTAATCCTTTTTGCTTATGCACGATTACTACAACTGAAACAAGAATATAATTTTAATTACTGTTGAAAAAATGTCTTCATTTCTAGATATAATAATTCAAGTAAATGCTGAAAATAAGCATTCATGTATTAATAAATATAAATTTCGGTCTTCTTCTAAAATTCTTAACGAAAATAGGACGACGATGGATTAACACTCGAACGGTGGAGCTCGTAATCATTTGGACCCAGAGTACAAATATTGTTATATGACCATACGTATACAATATATCCCACTTAAGTTGAGATTGTAAAAATCTCGTGTACACGTAATTTAAAAAAAAAAGACAAATTGTCATGTATCCTTTAGTATTTCGAGTGGGGAATCAAATGGCACTACATACTAATTTTCTAATGCGTGGTCATTATCAAGATTATTTCAAGGTCATCTTGTCTTTTTTTTGGTCACAAACTTATATTTTTTATTCCGGAATCATATTCTACATAAAATAAATATACAACATTTGTTTGAAACATTTTTTTTTGTAATATGAAGTTCTTAAATGAAATAAAATACTTTCCAGAAATAGATCACGTTGTTATTTTAATAGACAAACAAAATTATAAAAAATCAGTTGAATATCTTAAAAAATATTAAACTTACAAAATAATGTTTTGAACAAAAGTTGTGCATTTTTTTACGTAGAATATGATACCGAAATAGAGAATATAGATTTGTAATAAAAAAAGCAAGATGACCTTGAAATAACTTTGAAAATGCTCACGCATTAGAAAACTAGCAGTGATGCTTAACTCCCCACTCGAAATACTAAAGGACATGCACATGGGATACCCCGTATACATAGATATCCAAGAATTATATGTTAAATAACGTCGTAAAAAATGAATCTTGACAAAAGAGTTCGGACATGTGTCTGCTTACTTCGTCTCTAGAATCACCACAAAAAGTTTCACTAAAATCGACAGTCCCACAGATGTGATATCTCCTTGTCAGTTATATTTTTATAGATGAGGTTCGCCGTTCGAGTGTTAATAACGATTTTGAAAGCTTTTTGCAAGAATAAAAATTGACCGTGGTCACCGTCGATCAGCAACGTAACCAGCGTCCTATTCGGAACAGTTGCTGATACCGAAGTTATAGTAATCGAGTCACGAATTCAATGAGGACGACGTCCGCCATGACACCTAATATCACGTTAATGCAGTTAAGTACTTACCGATCGTAGACACCACCGTGAGAGAATACAGGAACGCTTTGGCGAAGTTCCATTCGTACTCTGGGGCACGTCGCTCGGTCACAGGATCGCTGGCCGAACTTCCAACGTAGGTCCCGACATTCTGGGTCGCCTTCATGTCGTCGGTGATCCTCTTCACCAGTTGATCCTGAAAACGTGCGATCTCCTGCGCGGCCAGCCTAGTCCAATTCTCGCGGTAAAGAACGTTCAGGCTCTCCGTGATTATCCAAATATTCTCGACGGTCTTCGCTCGGGCCTCGTTATTAACCTTTGCATGAGAAAATGTGTTGTTAAGATTACGCGCTCAAATCCATTCAAATGTACACTCTCAACTACTGGTGCACTGGGCTCGTGATAGAACCCGAATAAAAAGTGCAGAGAATGTGTTACTGAGATATTCTAGTGTGTGAATCTTTGAAAGAACCGATTCTTTTTTACGGTTCTTTTTTATCTTGAAGAATGTAGGTTCTAAGTTCATGTTCAAAATCTTATGCCTGAATTCTTAAAATTAAGAAAGTTTCAGCTGGTTGATCAGTCATAATATGAATAATTAGTATCGATAAACAAAACTTAAAATGTGCTTTTCTCGAAAGTATATTTTTCAAAACGGTGACCATGATATATCGAAACTTACTTAACCAATTGCCTTTCAAATTTAGGTGAGGAATATCCGATTTGCTATTGCGTGTAGCATTTAGGCGACCAAGGGGAAGCTAGACGTTGCGGCGGTAGTCACGTGGCGTAGCCTTCAACATCGTCGTATTGCGTGCACTTAGAGCTAATAGGAAGGGGTCATTTCTGCCAATAAGGGAAACGCGTTTACCCTACTTCTGCGATGGCGTTAGAATGGCTGGGTTGGATGGGATCGGTCATACACTTTTCTCAGTGGACTTCTTCTGAGCAAGACGAAGTGCAGACCGTACTAAAACCAATCCAACATTTTTATCCTCTATACTTTTTAGGCTTCCAATATTGAAAAATCATTAGGAAAAATCGATAATGAAATTTAGAAATGTCTACATTTTTACAATTATTGATTTTCTTCTTTTATTCTAGTAGCTGCTATAACCAAATTCATACTAATTATGAATCTTACACGTCCTATCATTTCAGATAAACAAAATCTCTTTGACATTTGACTGTGTTTCAAAGTAGGCAATGTCACCAATTTTAATTTTTCCTAACCCATCAAATTTTTAAATGCTATTGAAATATGCGTAAATAGATCTTGCAAACATGACTACAAAAAGTGTTACAGTCTTTTTGCAAAAAAAATCTCAAAGAAAGTTAAATAAAAACGCAGTTCACACTAGAATATTCTCTTAATTGACAGTTTATTCTTAGTCTATACAATCCCGGGCACATTTGAAGTTATCTTATTTGAAATATCATTTCAAATGTCATGTTATTTTATTTCATAACTGTTTCTAT